TTTGTAGGCGAAGGCATAGCTCAGCATTTACATACAATGGTAGCAGTGTTTTGAAAAGATCGACCAATTACGGATGCATACCCTGCTCGTCACCTTTGCTGCAGAAGGGCAGAATGTCGTCATTATAGTGCGAATTGGCAGCACTTATATGAGCATGACGTTTCTCGGAGACGCTACGACGTCCTACGCCATCGCGAGTGAAGGCCGACTGGCAGCGTACGGGAGAATCCGATGGTGAACGGCTTCCGCGCTCTCGCCTCGAACGGCCACGCGAGTCCACTGAAGGGGTCCGCGCCAGCCGTCGTAGTGGAATTTCGAGCGAATCTTTTTTCGCCGTTGTGGTTACCAAGTTTACTTTTTTTATCGGGGTCTCTCGATTGGGGCTGCTGGAGGAGCGAATAAAGTTGACGCTTATTCAACATAAACTTTCGAAGGAAAGCATGAGGGAAGTACAGAGGTACCTCCGCCTCTCATAAGTTGGATGTATTCAACCGTTGGAATAAGGCGCAGGGAATTTGCGTTATGAGGTTCGACTTTTGTTAACTTTTGCAATGAATACAGTAATTGTGAAAATAATTCTCCATTAATAAGATGCATAAAAAGTGGTTTAGAGCATATTTGTGCAAATAGTTGGTAAGCGTACTTATTTTGGACCGTTAATTTGTAAAGAACCGCGTCTGATCCTGGCCTCAAAATTGACTTAGTCTTTGGACATGAAATCTGCTGATCGCTGCGGTGGAAGAAGCGATTCACAGTTAACTTTAGAAAAACTTGTTTACCCTTCCCCATCATTTTGCATTGAGCTTTTTCAATGGCCGTTTTGAGTTTGTCAGAAATTTCCTAAAAAAAATTCAGCCAGTATTTGCTGTTGGTGACAACCATGTAATGCAACAAGGCGCTTACTGTAAGCGAAAGACCAATTACACTATGACCATTGACGGCAGATAGCCGATCACCTGGTCTAATACTCCCTGAGGTTAAATCTTTGCTTGCAGGGCTACCAGTCGATATTTGCTTGACGAAGAAACCGGAAAGATTATCTTCCAGATTGTCTGTATCCCCGACCATATGATCAACGACAACTTCGGATCCTTTTAGTTCAGAGTAGGCGTGAATTATTCGAGGCTCGGACCACTCTTCAAATCGGATTCCCAAACTTGAAGTTGCAGAATCACGATGGGGGACCGGGACCTCAAAGTCTATTGTTTGACACAGGGGCTAAAAGCGAATATGTTCGCACCTATTTATAATAGAAACTTCACTCATTGACAATCATTTGATTAAACATAAAGCGGATTTAGAAAGAGAGATAAGTGTAAAGTTGAAATTCGCCACAAAAATTATGTCCCTTACGGACTCAAAGACAAGATCAGGCGTGGTGTTGAAAGCGCATGTGGAAGATCGGTCCGTGGCGGGATCAATGAAGTTGGGTGAAGTCGATGGAGTGGTAACGACTACAGAATCCTGACGAGAGAAAACCAGAGTCGCCTTTTCCCCAACAGCGACTGATCTAAGCGTTGCCATAGCGTCCTTAAAGTTGATAACTTGCACGCCATCGATTGAAAGGAGCCGGTCACCAAACTGCCACAGAATGAAAGCATACTTTTAGTATCAAAGTATAAAACCAAAAAGCGATGTTCAGTGGAGTATTTGTAGAAATGTTCTATCCAACCCTTGATAGTGTATATCCAGTATTTGATATCAACGTTTTATACCGTGGGCACCAAACTAGAGGTCCTTTAACCTCTGCAATTAACACCTGCTGCTACAACTTTTGCGCACTACCAATAAGATTTACTTTCATGCCGGCATGCCTTACCACGCCAGCCGTAGAGGTGCAAGGCCATACAATGAATAGCATAGGCGAGGTTATCTGCGGGATGGCATGACTAAGGTCCAAAGCTTGATCATTAAATTAATAAATGCAATCCATCATCATTTAACGACCTGAAGACGTCCGTCGTGAATTGCAGCACCCATTGGCATTATCCTTTCTATAAAAACGGGTTGCATTTCATCCGTGTTAAGCAAAGTGTCTCTAGTAGCAAATGAGATTCCAAATCCTCCTTCTGCAAGCTTATGAAGATCAACTGTGATCCTCTGTCCGATAGAACGGGTGTTGAAAGCATTCAGATTCTAAAAGGAACATTAATTTTCACCAGTAAGCTGTAGAACATCTGTTCTTCTTCTAAAATCAACTTCAGTGACAGAAACAAAACAGAGTTAATAGTTTAGGATCATCTGATTAATCGGTGAAAAATAAAAAAAATGATGTTAAAAGCGGGAGACTAAGACGAATTTGTCCATTTTCAAATAAGTAACTCCAAATTACCAAATTATGTATAAAATAATGGCTGGCTACAAAAGCTTCATGGTTTACAATGTCTTGAACTACCTTAATGTAGGAGATCGGTGACAAATTCGAGCAACTTGAATGACTGTGAGGGGTTGGAGTTTCTCCATTAGCTAGAAATTAATGAATGTATCAATAAATTCATAAAAACGGAGAAAATCATCAAGTACTTTACTTACGAGGAAGGAGACTAGCGCCAGGTACAAGAAGTGAAAAGTCCTCCTGGGTCAACAAAGCGATTTTGATAATCTGAGATTTCGCAAATTCATTGACAAGTATTGATAAAATCCTAAAAGAGAATGAAATATAAAAAGTTCCAGCCGACATCCATTATACAAATTAACTAATAACTCACTTGTCCTTGGACTCATCGAGAAACTCTTCCCCATTAATCCTCACAATCACTTCATTGGGCCGAAAGCCAATTTGGTTTTGTAAAGACGGATCTGCTCGCATTATGCGCAATCCCCAGTACCTTCTAATAAATAGGTTTTAAAATATGTTATTCAATAAAATAAGTTACAAAACTTAGCCCTTACTTTATGACTTTGTCAAAAATGGCTTGAAAACGACATTTCGTCTGTTCAAGATCCAAAGGACCATCGTAGGAAACTATTCTAGCTTTATGGACCAAATTCTTGTCATATTCCGCCATCAAATCACTAATATCAACCAAAGTTGCCTTTTTTCTTCTCGGCCAAGTGGTCGGTGACGGCAAATCTGTAGCAGGACTTGACTCTAGCCTTTCCACAGCTTCCACCCAAGCATAGCTGTTAGCACCAAGGGAAGGGCGAGCTGCAGAATTTCGAGAGAACGACACCAGACCTTTCTTGTTGGACGACCGCAAATCACGGGGGCGAATGGCATTGTGAGAGGTCGGGATACTCTCTGCAATGTTGTCAATTCTAGATTCCTAAAAAGGCAAGATTAACAAAAAATGAGGGACAAATCAAGGCCTTTGAAAATTTCAAAGCCAATAATGTTACAGATAAGAGGAAATTATTAGAAATGAATAAGCCCATGCCAAAAAACAATGCCAGTTATTCAAGCACCCATGTGCTTCTTTTAAACAAATGGTCAGCGTTTAAAAACTAAAAAAATGGCAGAGCACCACAGCACACGTGTAACTAGTCAAAATGTCAACAAAGTAGTCAAAAGTATATGACAAATAAGGCAAAATGAGGTCCAGATTGCGGGCGAATCTACAAATACTGAAATAAAGCATAGGACTAACCA